TTCGCATTTCTGGCAGAAGAACGTCGGCCATTACTTTGGAAACAATGTCTGTCAAAAGATTTGCTTTGTAGACATTAACATACACGTCAGCAGCGTACACCCATGGGCAAATAGTAGATGCTAAATTAACCAATCAGAGCGCGCTTTGCTTTAGTTATGTTATAAATGAAAATGGTGACTTTTTCTAAACGGCTTGGCTTGCGAGAGACAAATCGTCGATTGTTTTTTTCCTCGGAAACGAGTGCCAGGACCTAACGATTTTTTTTATTCAGTTTGAATGCAGAGATCACCTTCTTTCTATGAAGTGAAGATGGACCAATTTCTATGGCAGAGTAAAAAATTATCACGGAAAATAACAGCATAGCTAGCTCTCATAAAAGATAATATGTGGCCTCAGAACACTGCGTGCTTGGAACATATTGAATCCCTTTCGACTAAATATGAGTGCCTTCATCATGAAACTTACATCAAATTGCTCCTTAACTTTATACATACATTACATACATACATTTTATTTGTTATGAAATTAAAATTACAATTATAACATGCCCGCGGATAGCTGAGCTAATCTACGCGGGTCATGTTTGGACGAGTTATTGACGCAATACATCCATTGTTGTATTTCTCGCTTAACTTTCTCCCTATCTTTCTGCTCTCTTAAAGCGTAAGGTGAATGGTTCAATGTTATGAAGAGTAGACCTGAATATTTAAGTCTCTGGAAACTTCTAGAATGTCAAGTTACGGAATGTTTGTGCCAGAACCTTCAACTGTTACGCTATGGAACAGTTCAGAGCATTCTACCGAATGATACAATTATGATGTAATGTTACATAAATAGAAGCTCCAAGAACATTCTAGAATATTAGTTAAATGTATATAAAGAATCAGCTGGCTAGTAGTAGTGTTAGTAGTTCTCGGCAGAGATCGAGTGGAAAAGCTGTTGCGTGCTATTGTTATTGTAAAAACTATTGAGGAAGTTCGTTCAAGGTCAAGTGGACCGTAAGGAGATTTCTTTGGAGACATCGAGATTCATTGTGGGTTCGTGTCAGTGGTGACTAAAGTTTAGCAGTAGGCTTAACTTAGTTTGGTAGTAGATTGTATTGTTCAGAAATCGCTCCTTTGTAGCTAAGATTATATTACGTATTGTTAAATGAATAAGTTGGGTTCGTTGAAGAGTTTCTTAGTATATCTTTCTGTGGGTCGAGCGATACCGTAACATCAAATATAAACGTTTCTGAAAGCAGATAATTTCAGGAGTTATGGGGTTTATTGAAGGTTCTCCTGTTTCTAAACGAATACGGGGAACCCGTTTTTGCTCATGGATGAGCAACATCCATGAGCTTAGGAGGCAGTCGGGTGGCGCTCTATCACTCACTCACTCCATTCTAATTAATTTATTCATTAAACCTGGATTAAACAATTTTCTCCTACCTCCCCTGCACGTGGTCCCCTGTGTTCATGTATCATGCACAACAGCACGGTCGGCGAGGTCAAAGAATTGATACATGACACCCGGGAGGACGAAGCCAGAAAGTGAGATCGTGATTAGCATATGGGTAAAGTTAAGCTCCTAGCTTTTTTTCTTGGCA